TCGTTAGGTCCAAACCCCTTAATAAGTATCTATGTGCTAACACCTGAATCGCTGTTTGAAAACATAATAAACATGAATTGAAAGAAAATAACATTTTTATTTCATTCTTAAGTAAGTACGATTACTTACTAATGGGATGTGTGCACCCGTTAGGCTTTGCACAGCTTCTCGAGTCTCGGAATCAGATGGAACACTCCCACCTTCGTTTTCTGTTCCACATAGAGTTTCATGCGGTTCTTGCTTTTTTATCCTAACAACCGCTGAAAATCTAGCTTTGCAGAGATGCAAAGCAGTGGGTAGGAATGTCGGGCACTTTGTTAGGTCACTCCACCTGGCAGTTGATGCGGTGCTCAATAGATGTGGAGTGTGGATTGCTGTGTTTCCCTCAAAGCTTCCAAATAGTCCACGGTGCCCCTGTGAGTTCACGGCGGCACTCTAGGGTACCTCGGCACCCCGTTTGGGAACCACGATCTTAGTGTTTTGTTTTCCCTCTACAAAACGGTTTCTTTGTTATAAATGTCCAAATTTAGAATTAGTTTATGGGTCCGATAATTTTGTGTGGCTGTTGATGAAATGATTATTTTTGCTTTTTCGTCCTTCCCTCTCCTCCTTCCTATTGATTGCTTCCTACTTTTCATGTATTTGTGCATCTGCTATGTGCCCGGCCTTGCTTTCACTCATTCTGTTTGCAGGAAAGAGGTGAAACGACTTCACATTTTTTTTAGCACATGCTATGAACCAGCCTCATCCCATTTGATGCCCCCAGTAACCTCGTGAGGTGGCTACCGTGACAGTCCCCATTTTACAGATGAGGAAACTGAGGTCTGGAGGTGCAGGCCTTCCCCAGAGTCTCTGCTTGCAGAGAGACCCTTCCAGGGGCTAGAAGTGTGTCCCAAGGCCGCACGCAGAAGGAGGCTCATACGATTTTGCCTTCTCCTCTTTCAGAAATGGCCGAACGACACAACACCAAGCAAGTTCTGAAGCTGGCCCGGGACCTCGTGTACAAGGTGCAGACTCTGATTGAGAACAAGTGAGGGGCACCTGGGCTGGGCAGTGTCAGCCTGCTACCCCTGCCTGTCCTTCTGCCCACTCCTCTTCCCAGCCGGAGGGCTGCCCTGGGAGCCGGGTCCTGGTGTCTGTTGAAGAGCGTGGACTTCCCTGCACAGAGAAACTGTCCCGACTTTGGCCGCTGGGCGGGTGGCATCGAGGGGGCGCCCCTTCAGTTCAGCCTTACGTTTTCCTGTTTGACCAAAGATCGCCCAACCACGTCTGGCATTTCTCCCTTGTGGGAGCTGGGGGTTGTTGTTGGATGGAGGAAGCATCTTCGTTCCCGGTCTCCGGAATGGTCTCCTCTTCTTTCTGGATCCTTCCAAACTGTCTTGTCAGATGAGACTTTGGGAGGGAATTTTTTTTTTTTGGAAATTGGTATAGAAGGGGTCTATGGGGCTACCTCTGTGCTCTGAAAGGGGCCGCTGGAGATGTTCCAGAACATGGCTGGAAGGTTGGCTCAGAGCAGGGTCTCTCCCCCTCAGCATTACTGACATTTGGGGCCAGGTAATTCTTTTTGAGGGGACTGTCCTGTGAATTACAGGTTGTTGAGCAGTATCCCTGACCTCTACCCACACGATGCCAGTAGCACCATCCCTTGTCCCCACCCGTGGTTGTGACAAAAAAAGAAATGTCTCCAGACATTGCCAGCTGTCCCCTACAGGGCTAACTTGCCCCTATTTGAGAACCCCTGGCTTGGCGGAGGACTGCAATTGTGCCTCCCTCCCCACTGTCTTTGTACAAAGCCCCCCCATGTCCTGAGGCCTTCCCTCAGTTAGAAAAGGCACACAGGGGTCCTTCACATATGTCCCTTGGGGTCCAGGATTCCTTTTGTTGTATTTTCTCCTTTGTCTGATGCTAGCAGATACTTCCTTTCTTTCTTCTTTTGAAGAAATGTATCTTCCTACACCGGTGATGGAACCAGAGGAGTGTCTGTCAGGCATGAGACAGTCCGAGGCTCGCTGGGGTCCTGCCCAAAGAGGGCAGGGCAGAGTCCACGCCCTGCTGCCTTCTTCCACATAAGGGGTCTCGGAAAGGTGTAGGTTTGGCAAAAGCCACTTGATCAGGGAGGCCGGCTTTTCTCTAAGCACCCGTGCTTACTCAGGACAAAGGCGGAGGAGGAAGAGGTCGGCCAGGGTAGAGGGTGGTGTGTGTTTTCCTAAGGAAACATCTGCTGATGAACTGGGGCCAGGGCCACAGCTAGGTCTGGGAACGGCCACCTCCTTGTCTTCACACAGAGGGTCACCAATCTGCAAACAGACCCTAAACGAGCTAGTTCACTCTGCCTGCCTGTCCTTTCAGTGGAGCAGCCGTGCTGATTCTTCTCTTCGGAGAATGCACCCAGAATGGGAGGACACAGTGAGTGTCAGGGAGGAAGGCTCTTCCCAGGTCACCTGCTATCTCTAGGGCGGTGAAGGAATTACGGCTGGGGTTTGGGGGAGGGGAGGAGACAGGGAAAGCAGCACATTGAAGTGTTTGCAGGGGGGCGCGTTAGTCCTCCCACCTGAAAGCAGAAAGCGACATAGTCAACGTTCCGGCTGCCATTAGAGTCACATGTCCCCACCCTGGCTCCCCAGCTTCCCAAGATGGGAAGAAACGTACAAAAGGCCCCTTGGGATAAAAGTCTTGTTTTGCCGCTCAGCTGTTCCCTACAGAGGATGTTATTTTAGCAAGACCCAAGTCCCAGACCTTCGGATTCTTATTTATTTTTTTAACAGACTAGTCTTTTAAAGTACAGCACAAGATCTCTTCTCTGCCTTCTCTTGTGGTGTTCCAGAGAGTGTCCGTGGTTGTGGTTTGGAATAATTCATATTTATTTTGTTTATCGTGCTTGTTCAGATCTCTGTACATTGTGCGTGCGTGTCCTGGAGTTGGGTGTGTGGGAGTCGTTCTGTCTGTGGAGTGCCCTCTTTTTTTCAGTGTGGCCCACATGTCTTGTAAATGTTTACTAAAGAGTCGTGTCTATATAGAGAGAAAATATATATAAACAGAGAAATATGTGAATCTGTGGGGTTTTTTGTTTCTTTGCGTTTTTTTATTTTATTTTTTTTTTAATTGGGAAGAAAGACATGTTTGCTTCTGAATTGTGCTCACACTTCCACCCTCGTGACCCCAGATGGGGTCAGATTGTCGTGACAGTTGCCTGGCCTCTCCCCAGAAAGACGAATCGCTCCTTACCCCTTGTATCAGTTAGCTGTTACCACAAGTGACGCTGCATAACAAACCACCCAAAACGTAGTGGTTTAAAATAGCCATTTGTTGAGTTCATGATTCTGCAGATCAACAGTCTGGGTTGGGTTCAGCCGGGAGGTTCTTCTGGTCTCAGCCTGACTTCTTCGTGCGTCTGTGGTCAACTGATGGCCAGAGAGGCAGCTCCACTTCTGACATGGGCTGTTGGCTGGGGCGATGGAGGAAACTGGGGCACGTGTCCCTCATCCTCCTGCAGCCTAGCTCAGCCTTGTCAATGTGGCCGTGATGGCAGATTCCATGAAAGCAAGAAGAAGCAGCCACCCCTCTTAAGGCCTCAGCCTGGCTGGCATGAAGTCATTACTGCCACATTCTGTTGGTCAGCGTAAGTCACATGACTGAGCCTGGATTTAGAGGTGGGGAAATAGACTCCACTTCCTGATAGCAGGCTTTGAAACATGACATTGGAAAGGAGCATGGATACAGGCAGGGAAATCATGGAGGCTATTTTTTGCACACTCTCTGCCACACCCCCCAAGGCTTGGTGTACCATGGGGGCCCCAGTCGGTCAGCCATGGGCCATGGGAGCATCCCTCTAAGCTAACGCCTCTCTGCATCCTGACTGCTGAGCTGGCTCATCTCTCAGGTCTGACATTCCCACAGGCCGCGAGCCCATCTCCTAGACATCTCTGGTTCTCACTGGTGGCTGTCATTCAGAACCACAGTCGTCAGGCAGTGGGGACCTTGCACGGGTCTGCACCCCCAGCAATTTCTAAACATGGCCTGAGGGAAACTTCTGGTTTCAACTGTGGAAGCAAAGCTTGATTTAATCTAACGCGCACCCATCGAAACTTCAGGGTTTATGTAGAAAAAGTTAGATTTCCAAATTAAGCCTGCAAAGTGCAGGAGGAGTTTGTAGATGGCACCAGGTAGCTGGATGGGCCCTGTCACCACTTTGTCAGAAAATTCCCGGGAGAGGCAAGTGTGAAGCCACTTATAGAAGCAGGCCAGTGGGGATTTGTCCTTTTGCTAGCCCAGCTGGGGGCTGTGCTAGTTGGAAGGTCTGCTGCTTCTTCCCGAGGGGAGCGTCTCAGAGCAAAGTCTGGTCCTGATGCTCCACGACTGTCCTTTGACGTCACCATCTCATTTCTTGGACTTCAACCTTAACTCGGCCCACACGGCCCCCTCCGGAGGGCTACAGTATTGCTTGCAGCTGCCTCGCACTGCCAGACCTGGGGAACACCAGGACACCTGTCGTGTGGTGCAAATGCCTGGTTACATGCACTGTGGGCCTCTGGTCATTAACGGTATATCTTATGGGAGAAAAAGTCCCAAGAGAATATTTTTGCTTTTGTCAAGGCTTTCCTAAACACGTGCGCTTGAACTTTGCCTAGATGTGAAGAGGTAATTCTTGGATCACCAGGCACGTTTCCACGGCTCGGTCGGGGTGGAGAGCGGGCCCGGTCCTGCGCGTGCGTGTAGTCGGCATCATGGCTGCCACCTCCTACCCACTTCCCCTCTTCCTTCTCCTCTCCAGCCTCCTTTCCTCCACCTCTCTCTCTTTTCTTTCCTATTCCTCTCCTTCTCCCCTTCTTCTCTCCCCTCCTTCTGCTGCTTCTCCTCGTATTATTGATAATAGGAACTTGGATGGTGTCTGTGCCCACGTTTTCTACCTGAATTACGCTGGCCTCGTTCGGAGCAAGACTGCAGTGGGAAGGCACTTCTGGCTGCCCCACCCTTCTCCATTTAAACCATCCTCCATTTTCTTTTCACCTAGAGCTTTCCCTTTGGCTTGCAGGAGAGGCCATGGGGCAGGTGAGAAGCACTTCTCCTGCAAAGAGTTCGGGAGGCCCTCACCTTCTGTTGCAGAATGGCTGGAAGCCATGTTAAGCCATATTCTTTCATTTTCTTTCTTACCTTCTCTCCGTGTCTCCCAGTATTCCCAAGGGAAGGGAGGTGAGGGTGTGGTCAGGAACAGGGTGGGAAGTGATAGGCTGGAGTGCAGTGATGCAATCATAGCTCACTGTGACCTCAAAATCCTGGGCTCAAGCAATCCTCCTGCCTCGGTCTCCCTAACCTGTAGCTGGGACTACAGGTTAGCGTGCAACCACCCGCCGGCTAATATTTATCATCTCTTTGTAGAGATGGGGTCTCGCTATGTTGCCCAAGCTGGTCTCAAATTCCTGGCCTCAAGCAATCCTCCCACCTCGGCCTCCCAAAATGCTGGGATTACAGGTGTGAGCCACTGCACCGGGCCCAGAGTTTTCTTTACATTTCAAATCAGTGTATTCAAATATATTATAATATGCCTATCAATATGAGATTTAGATTCTTTTCTTCTCATCAGATACTCTTAAGTTTGACAGACATTAGACTCATCAGCCAAGGGAGCCTTTCTTCTTGGAGGACTTAAAGGAAAATTAAAACAGAAATGACTAACTAAGTGTATCAATTAAAATCATGTCATATGTCTCCGTCCACATATTTGGTGAGCAAAGATTTAGGATTCCAAATCTGCTACTTATGGCTGTGTGGCCAGGGGCAAGTGACTTGACTTCTCTGAGCCTTAGTTTTCACTTCTGTGAAACGGGGATGATAATGCCTCCCTTGGTTCTGGACTCAGTTCTGAGCCCCCCTCTTTCAAGGGAACCCTCTGCCCCTCAGCATCACTGGGGATGGGGTTGGGAACCCATTTTCCCAGAGTTCCCATCTCAGGTTCTCAGATGAGTTTTTGAAACTTAAGAGAATGTGGCCCCAACCGGAAAACTCAGGACGGGGTGAGCCTTGAGCCCTGTAAGTCTGTGTCTTGGAGAAGCACTGGAGTTAGGTGTGGTGAGGCCATCAGTTCTTGGCAGGAGCAGCATCCGCGGTGACTCTGCAGTTTGCGTCTGATTCTGCTGAGTCAGGAAAGGGCCCCAGGTCTCCCGGTTTTTTTTTTTTTTTTTGGCTTTTAAGCCACTGGGTACATTAAGAGCTTGCACCCAGAACAGATATAGACTCTAGAGGAACACAACAGTTTGAGTCTTTTTGAAGTGCCAACTTGACAATCCATTTCTGACCGTCAACCTAGCAGAACTCAAATACCCAACAGGAGCATGCAGTTCCTTGGAGACGTTCCATGACACTAGCATGTGGCAGAGGAACCCTCCAGTATCTTCCCGGCTTTCTTTTTTCAGATTCGTGAGCAATGATTTCCAGACTTTGTAGGTATGAGGCTCCTTGCAAACAGTGGGTGTCTCTTATTTTGATGAAGAGAAAATAACAGAGAGACCCCTCTGTCTATTACCAAATAAAGACAGAGTCTTTCTGTAAATGGTTTTGCTTTATGGGCTAGAGAAGCACTCCCTTTGGCGTTGCTGAAACAGTTCAAACAGAAAATTATGGAACTCGGGGGCCATTAGGAGGCGATTACAAGAGAGGAAGCAGCACAGCCCAAGCGCCAACGGATGACACATAGGCTTGGGCTCCTACTTGGTAGCTTCTACTTGCTGCGGTTGGTACTGGAATCTGCCTAGGGCTCAAGGAATATTCCCTCATGAGACTGATTTGCGTTGAAGTGCTTCTGATGACACTCGAAATGAACTGCTGGGTTTTGAATCCATTTGAACATCATGTGGTGGCTTCCTAGGTTTCCCATTACTTTATTCAATTATTCTATTACTTTAAAAAAAAAGCTCTAAAACCATTCTTATTATTCTTTCTGTAAGATAAATACTGGGTGTGTTCTCTGTGATCTATGTGTCCTTGGAATAATAGAATCAATCCTGGAGGTTGTTTATGGTTATTGTCAATGGAAAAGAACCCTTACTCTGTAAAGTAGTTTAAAGAGGATTATTCTGAGCCAAGTATGAGGACCATGGCCTGGAGCCACGCCTAAGAAGCCATGAGCAAGTGGACTCGCTGTGGCTGGGTTACAGTTGGGTTTTATACATTTTAGGGAGACAGGGATTACATGTAAAGTCATAAATCAATACATGGAAGGTGTTCATTGGTTTGGCCCCAAAAGGCGGGACATCTTGAAGCATGGCGGGAGGGGGGTTGTTACAGGTTATAGGTGGGTTTCAAAGATTCTTTGATTTTTAATTGGTTAAAGAAATTAAGCTTTGTCTAAAGGCTTGGAATGTTTTAGGTTAAGATAAGGAAGTCTGTTAATCAGAGAGAGGCCACTGGACATATATCAGATATATACCCAGACTCAAGTGATCTGCTAAGTAAATTGAGGACCTGCAGGTGTGGTTCAAGCCCCACCCTGTATAGCCTTAGGCTAGTTAATGAGTTACAAAGGATTTCTCCAAGAAGGGGAATGATGAGTCATGTCTGACCTCCCTTCTCTTGGCCAGCAACTCAGCGTTAGGCTATTTCTGGGGTTCCCTTGGCTAAGAGAGGATCCATTCTATCAGCCGGGGGGTGCTTAAGATTTAAGATTTTATTTTAGCTCACAATATTCTTGGGTGAGCATTTGAAGCCAAAAGAGTTTGATCAAGATGAGTTGGGTGGGTAGGGGCAAAGGCAGCAAATCTAGGTGTTATTTTGTATCTACCATAGTGTCTGACAGTTCTCAGTTCAAATCCCAGCTCTGCCACTGATCAGCTGTGTGGCCTTGGGCAAGCAATTTTACCTCTCTGAGCCTCAATTTTCACTTCTGTGAAATGGGGATACTAAAGCTTCCCTTAAGGAGAGAACTGCTGGCCATTGAATGTTTCTGCCTGCTTAGCATCCTTTCCTCATTCTGGTATCAGCAAGCACCTTCCCCCAGATGTAGGTAATTATATTGTCTCCACTATACCTATGGCCTTCTAGTGAGACTGCTCACATGCCCCTCCCTGCCCAGAGGTGGGCATGTGACCCAGTGCTGGCCAATCAGACTCCTTCCCTGGGATGTATATATACCAAGAGAGGAAAGGGAAGTTCACTCTTTCCTCTGGGGCAGCCAAGCTAGGGTGATGCCAGCCTGGCACTGCCTGTGACCATGTCTCCTGCATGAAGGGGTCAAGAATGGCTAGATCCAGGTGTTCAAATGAAGTCCTTAGAGCTCTGTCTCTGTCCATCCCATGGTTCCGCTCCCCTCCATGCTGGTGTGCTGGCTTCCACAGTGCCCATGAATCAATCATTCTGACCAGGACTGATTTTCCAGAAGGGCTCATTTGTCCATCTCAAAGCCCAGGGGTAGCCAGGGAATAGCCCCAAGGGAAGATTAGGGCACTGCTTCCAGAGAAGAGCAATGGGCTGGACAGGCAAAACCAACAGACAGATTCCAGCACCCCTGGCAGAAAAAGCAGCATGTGCAGAGGTACGGAAGTGGGGAGAAGCCTCCTGGGGGCTCGGAAGTTTGTTGTGGCTGGAGGGAGCGGCACCAGGATTGAGTGGATGACAAGAAAAAGGCTGAAGAGAGTGGTTGGAGCTGGATTATAGAGAGCATCACGTGCCCCAACTAACAGTGAACTTTCCACATCAGTGGGATTGTTTGCATTTGCACAGAGGGGTGAGAAATGTTCTTAACTTCCTCACCCCTGCACCCCAACACTGGCACAAAGTCTTGTAAATAATAGGCACCACTAAATACTTGATGGGGAAATGAGTAATTTTCAAATTATCCAAGAAATGAGGAATTATAAAAAGGAAATGAAGAGAAAGAGAATGTGCACATGCCCATTAAAAGATTTAGTATTTGAGTGACAACCACAAACTCAGAATGGGCCTGGGCACTTTTCATAAATACATGTAACTCCCACCACAGTCCTGTGAGGTAGAGACGATAATAATAGTAGCTAACATTTATTGAGCGCCATGTGCCAGACATGGGTGCGAAGTGCTTTATTTATATAGAGAATCTCAAGTTAATTCCTGGAACATCCTTATGAGGTGGGCATTATTTCAACTTCCATTTTACAGAAGAAGAAAACTGGGCTCCAGAGGGGTGAAACGTCTTGCCTGAGATCACACCGCAAGGAAGAGTGCAGGTGGGATCTGAAACTGGGTACTGATGCTTTCATACGACACTGGATTGTGCTCTTTTTGCTCCTCCCAGGAGATTTTTATTTGTTCATTTCTGGCACAAGGATGATTTTCTCAGTGTCTCTGGAGAACAGGATGGTCATCCCCTGGACACTGGTCACTCGGTGCCAGCTGATCACAGGCAGGAGGCTGGCCAGGACTGCGTTGAAGATGGCAGTTACATAGCCCCAGCCCAGCTAGCACCTCCCACCATGGTATATGGAGGAGGCTTCACAGACTTCCTTGGCGAACGGTGAGGCCAGGCTGATTGGGAAAACCAGCAGGCCCATGATGGCGGCAGTGGCTGGAGACAGTGGGAAGGAAAGCCAGTCAAATAGTTCTGGGCTAACCTTCTATCCCAGGACTCATTTGTCCACCTTGCTATCCACCCACCATCTACCCACTCACCCACCCATCCATCCGCCCACCCAACCCTCCATTCATTCACTTATTTAGTGGCTTATCCTCCTTTTATCCACCTACTCATTCAACTACCCTTCCAACCATCTGTCCATCCACTCATCTATTCATTCAACCATATCCCTACCTACTTATTCTCTCCATCCCTCTATCCACCTATCAGTTCATTCATCCATCTACGCATCTGCCTACTTAGCCACCTGACCCCACCCATCCATCCACCCACTCATCCATCCATCCCTCATCCTCCATCCATCCAACCATATTCCAATCTACCCATCCTCCCTATCCACCCATCCATCCATCTGCTAAAATATCTGTCTATCTATGCATCAGTTCATCCATTCACTTACAAACCCACCTACCCATCCATCCATGCATTCATTCATCAACTGTTCGAGGTGCTGTGGTGGGCATTAATGATACGAATGAAGTGAACCAGACACCTCCTGGCCTCCAAGGCGCTCCCGGTGGTGCAGAGGAGTCACATGACTCCTAGCCTCCCTCGCTGTCTCCAGCCACACTGGTCCACTTTCTGTTCCCTGAACATGCCTTGCTGTCTTGTCTCCATGCCTTGGCCCCTGAACTTCCCGTTACCTGAAATGCCCTGTCCCCTTGGCCAACTTCTACTCATCCTTCCAGACTCAGCTCGAGCGGTACCTTCTCCAGGAAGCTTGCCTTAACACCCTGCACGCACTTGGTCAGGTGCCCCCTGGAGTTTTCCTAGCATCCTGTGCCCATCCACGTGGTGTCAAATATCCACTGAGTTACAACTCTCTGATCCCTCCAAGCCCTGCCAAGTAGACACTGTGCAAGCACGCCTAGGGCAAGGAGCGCATCTCTACCTATGGACTCAGCATATGCCTACTGGGCATCTGTGATGTGTACAGCACTGTGAAATATATAAAGCAAGGTAAGAGGACGGAGAAGCTAAGGAGAGGGAAGCTCCCTTAGCTGGAGGGCATGGAAGCCCCCGTGGAGGCAGTGATATCTCAGCAGAGCCCTTAATGAAGTGGGGAATTAGACATGCAAGATCTGGGGAAAGAGAACTCCAGGCAGAGGGAGCAAGGGTGGTGGATATGAGCAACAGAGAGCAAATGTGGCTGGGGTACATTGAGCCTGGCAGAGCAGGAAGCGCTGAGGTTGAAGAGGGAATGAGGCGGAGCCCCATAGGCCAGAGAAAGGAGTTTGCATTTTACTCAGGGGGATGAAAAGCCGTTGGGGGTAGATAAGCCAGTCTGAGTGGCAGGATCTGATTTCAGTTCCAGCAGGACCCATTTGTTCTGTGTGTGGCAGACAGACGCTAGGGGGCAAGGGTGGCAGGGAGACCTGTGTGGATTATTGCTCTAATCCAGGTGAGAGACGGTGAAGAATTAATTGAACAAAGGTTACACTCAAGACCGAGGCTACTGCCTCCAAAGGCTACGTGTGAGTTAGAGAAAAGCAATCCTCCTGGGGAGATGCAGCCTTGCAGGTTCACAGTTTAGCAAGCAGAGCGTGGGCTAGATTTGAGCATCTTCTCAGCTCTCAGCTGTGCGCCTTTGTGCAGTGCACAACCTGCCTGCTCAACTATGGTGGTCCTGGTAAAGATGACACAAAGTGGATGGATAAGACAGAAACCAAGGGGGACAGATTATCAGGACTGAGTTGGGTAAGGGCAGGAGTGGGTGGTATTAAGGATGCCATCTCTCCCTGCCCCCAATTTCTGGCTTGCTAAAGGACCAGGATGGTGGACAATGCTAGGGTTTATCTCTGAGATCTGACCCAAGAGGTCAGGCCCTGCTCACAGGCTCATTCATTCATTCATTCATTCATTCCATAAGTATGTCTATAGCACTCAACTATGTGCCAGTGGATTTACCTGCTGCTGCCTGCACCCTGGCACTGGGCCACTGCCCCTCCTTGGGCACAGTCCTTTGGGGGCCATGGCCCAGGCCGGGAGGAGAATTGCACTGAAGGCCAACAGGAGCCAGCCTCTGAGAAGCATCACAGCCGAGACCTGCCGGGAAGAGATGAGAGGAAGGGTGTTGGCTGGGACGGGGGCAGGTGGATGCTGCCTCTGCTTATTACATGACCAGCATCAGAGTGTTCGCAACATCCCCATGAGGTCTGTGCTAATATTATCTCTGTTTTACATATAAATAAACAGAGGTCCATGAAATGGGAGTCATTTGCCTAAGGACACACAGCTAGCTGAATCGTAGAGCTGGAATTAAGATCCAGATTGGCCACCATATTCCATAACTTTATTTAGTACTTGCTACATGTCAGGACCACCAGGAAGGGCACCTGGTAGGTGCTGTTACATCACCTTTGCAACGATCAGTTTTGAAGGCTGTACATTCTTCCTTAGAGGTGCTGGACTGGGAGTCCTTACCCATTCTCCCCATTATTGGTCTCGGTAATATGCATCATAACAGGAACTTGAACACTTGGGCTTTCATTTTTAAACCTAGCAGTGCTTAGAGGGTGGCCAGGTAGGAGCGTGCATGTTGTACACTGCACAACTCTAGGAGATGCATTTGGGGTCATCATAGATTTGCACACTGATTACAGCGATTCCCCAGCAGATGGCAGTATAGTGCACTGAAGAAGGGGTGCTGTTTCCTAATGCTCACAGAGGTGCTATATGGGTGGGCGGCTGCCTTTGGAACCATCCTGGGTGTTTGTTAAAATACAGCTAGTCAGACCCCACCCGATCCCTAGAGTCAGAGGCTCCAGGTGGAGCCCAGAATTTGGCATGTTGGCAAATTTCCACAGGTGTTTCTCAAGGGCTGTCAGGCTTAAGAACTCTGTGCTCAGTTCAAAGGGGAGACTAATGGTGGATTCACGGGCTCTGGGACACCCAGGCAGTGAGGAAAGGCCTTCAAATCCCATTTGGCCGCTTCCCTGCCCTGCAGGGTTTGGCTGTGCCCCAGAGGACGCAGTCAATGGTGAGCCCAGGTCTCCTCTTCCAGGCGAAGTCAGGAATATCCTCCAGGGACCTGAAGGTCACACAGCTCTGGTTCCAGCTGTCACCCTGAGGCCAGGAGCAGTAGGTGAGGATGCCAAAGGAGAAGGTGGGGCTCTGGAACCAGGCAGGGGAGATGAGGCTGAGGGCCGAGATGCAGGTGAGGGACAGCCCCAGAGCTGCCCACACGCTGCTCACCATTAGGGAGTGTCACTGACCTAGGGATCAACCGGCAAGATTAGGGATGGAGACGGCCAGGACAAGGAGAGAAACAGAGGCTGGCAGATCCCCCTGACCCCAGCCAGGGATCGGGTGCTGTGGTCAGACCCCAGGTCATCAGCCCCCCTTGAGCCTGGTGATGCAGTGGAGTGGCAGGGGGATACTTTGTCCTAACAAGTCCTGGACTCCCATATTCTAGAATAAACGTTAGTGCTTACAGACCTTTGAACAGACCTCCACCTTCTGCATGGCAAATCATCATCACTGGTCTATGCCCGGCCCCTCTCATGTTTCATTCATTCATTCATTCATTCATTCATTCTCTCTGCCCATCAAGCCTTTTCTGTCCGAAAGGGCTGCTTCTACCCGGAGGGGGTGCCTTTTTTACATTCACACGCAATGCTGTTTCTAGCAGCCACCCTGCCCGTTAGCCAACGCCTCCCAATCAGCAACACCTTGAATTGTTTGACGTGAATCATTTTGTTTGGAGATATTTTTGCAAAATCAGTGTTGTACAATATGCATGCATTTTTTCATGTATGTAAATGGTATTATTTTGTTTATTGCATTCTCTTTCCTACTTTTGGCACTAAGCGTAATGTTTTTAGGATTGATGCGTGTTGTCATGTGTACACCTATTCATTCCACCTGTTGCGGTTTGGGTTCCCCAGAGGGAGATTGCAAGGGCCCCACCTCCTAATTTCATCACCTTGGGAGTTAGAATTTTAACATATAAATTTGGGGGAGGACACAAATATTCAGTCCATAGCAAGAGTCTAGTGAGAATTTGTGGATGTGGTTTGATTATCCTTGCATTTATTGTTCTGTTTTTTGGTGTAATATTGGTTTTCCAATGAAAATTTATTTTAATAAACAAGCGGGTCAATTTCAAGTCAAGTCTTACTTACATAGTAATAGAGGTGGTTGTATGACATGGCCGAAGCTGGAAGGTGATTTGCTAATAGCCAGCCCTGTCACCGATGGCCAGAAGGGAGGCCCAGAGGGGTGAGCCTGCCCAAGGACACCCAGGGTCAAAAGCAGCTGAGCTGCCAGCCATGCCAAGGGCACCCATGCAGACTTCCCGGGCCACCGGGTCACAACCTTGGGTTTCACTTTGGCAATCTAAGCCCAGCCAGCACTTCAGATGTGGCAGGAATTCTTGGCCGAGAGGCCGACCAACCACTCTACCCGTTTCCCAGCTTTGGGACCTGGTGCAAGTTGCCCCACTGCCCTGGGCCTCAGTTTCTCCCTCTGTACAAGGAGATTATAAATCCCTGGGAGCAGATAGTGTTGGGTTCAATCACTGAGCAGGGGATGTGGTGGACAGAGAGGCAGAGAGGCCTGGTGGTCCCCTTCCCAGCTGTATGAGCTAAGAAAATGGGAACACTCACCTCTCTGCAAAATGGAGGGGGGGGTTGTTGCGAAGGTTCTAGGGAACAAAATGCATGTGTGAGTTGCAGGGGGAGGGGTAGAAATAAGCCTGGGCAGGTAGGGCAGGGTCAAGTTGCACATGGGCTTTTTACTCCGGGATTAGAAAAACCTGGCTGCTTGCCAGCAAGTGAGAGGTGCTCCCTTGAGTGAGAGAGGATGGTTTTCTGTTGGTTTTTCTTCCCCTGATTCTATGCCAAAATCAGCCTCTCCTTTGGGTTGGCAGGATCCCGAGGGGTGTAATTCCAGCCAGGAAGCTGGGGAGAGCTGAATCCACCGAGACCGGTGGTTCTGCCTCTCTCTGGCGGCACCGGTGGCTCCTCCAGGCGTTTCTGACCTTGAAAGGAGTTTTGTTCTCCAGATAATGCTCAACGTCACCTAGGAAAATCACGCCAACCGTCCAGGTGCCCAGAAACTGAAACGAGGCGCTATAACCCGAAACCACATCCCGCCAGGCTCCAATTCACTGGAATCCACCTAAGGGAAGCGCGAAAGGACTGAATATTTTCTCCTCCGGCTCAGTACGTACCTTTTAACGGCAGCCAACAATTTTTGAGCACTCACCAGGCCCCCTTCTAAGCACTGTCAGTGCCTCTTGTGTGCAAGCCTCACGGCTGCCTGATGAAGGTAGATTCTGTTCTCATCATTCTCATTTTACAGATGACAAAACTGAGGTTCAGGAAGCAAGCGGTGGAGCTGGGACTCAGGCTCCAAATCTGGGCCCTAAGCCCAGAGTGATATTAGAAGCTTAATTTAAAAGCCAAATACCCCAGTAGCTTCCTGGGGCTGCCCAGGGTTAGGACATGGTCAGCTCTCCCACTTGCTCTGGCCAGGGGGCGTGGATGGTTCCAGAGGGGTCATAGTCAGCCACAGGCAGAATCTCAGGAGCAGAGCGGAGATTCAGTTTAGAAGTGGCTGCTAGGACTTGGGCTTCCACGTCCTTATCTGTAAAGGATAGGGTTGATCATTCATTCATTCCACTTCGATGTGCCCAGCCCAATGTGACTCTTTAACCCCCAGCCCTGGGAATACAGTGGTGAACAGAACATAGTCCCTGCATTCAAGGAGCTTAGAGTTTTGTGGGCAAGACAGACAGACAGAATA